TGTCTCTTGCACGAGGACCCCTCTTTCACCCTCTCAAGCATCTTCAACTTTGAACTACTAATATGAAAATCATTCTCATCAAATCCCAATGAAAATCTGAAAACCAAATCAAACCTCAAAACTTAAGCTCAAATATGAAAATCAAATCATAATTAAACCTCAAACTCAAATCTGAAAATCAAATATCATCATGTACGAAATTGAGAAAATAAGAAAGAAGAACAAGTGCAGATGTCGTCAATAAGAAAGAAGAAAACGTTTGATAGAAAGTGGATGGTGGCGATGGTCTAGATCTAGTTTAGGGTTTTTAAATTGAAAGTGGAGGACATCGTAGATAGACAGACGGTGCCGAGGTTGATAGATATCAACAAGGTGGAAGATGAGGGTGACGATCTTAAAGAAGGGACCATCGGAGTGTATTAGTGGCGATGCAGCTTTGATCGTTGTTGGCTGATGTTTATACCTCCGCTTACATTCGATGTATACCAAGTTTTTTTACATCCGAAAGATATGGATGGTTTCTTGATGGAAGCTTGTGATGGTGGCTTCAGGTGATTGGATCTACGAGGAGATGATTGGATCTACGAGGAGATGAAGATGAAGAACAGTTAGGTGGTTTCCTATGGGAGAAGATAGGGAGAAAGGGTTTCTCCGATGATGGTGTTTCTCCGGTTAGAAGGTGGCGATGGTAGAGATTTGTTGGTTTAAGGTATTCCAGTTAAAGGATGAAGAAGGTTGTATTTTTGGGTTGTAAGGGAGGAATAAGGTTGCTTGTTGGGTTGTAAAGGAGGAATAAGGTTATTTGTTGGCATTCTTTAATAATGATTGGAGTGGACTCCATAGAGTGATGGAGGCAAAGATAAAATCATGCAGATGATGGGAGGGTGAAAGTTAAAAGGTGGTAGTGGGTCCCATTTTATTAGTTAACCTAATATTTAATAAAAAATAACAAATTAAAAAAGAAATAAAAAAGAGTAATGTAATGCCCGCAGATTCGCGTTTAGTCAATTTAGAGACAATAAGCGTCAAAAATGACTTTTTGATAGAAGATTATTTACAGTAAATAATCTGAACCAATTTATAGTATATATATATCACAAGGGTTCGGTACATATAAAGAACGACAAAATCCAAGTTATAACGAAGAAGTTATGACCCGTCGAAGTTTTACGGCTAAACCGACACGACACCGTGTAACGTAAAAAGTGAATTTTTGATAAACTACTTTTTTGCCTTAGAGAACTAAATAAAAGTTGTAATGCACTTTAAACCGAGAACGTGCATAAAAAGAACGTCTAAATCTGACTTCGTATAAGGAAGTTATGATTTTTCTAAGATTTAGCATAACAGTGCACAGCCCGGAATTCGAATTTTAGATCGAGCGATTTTTAGCCGAAACAACCTAAATGAGAATTGAAGATATCATTAATAGGAGCTCAAGAATAAAAAGACAGTCGAAAACGGAGTCCGTGTGTAAAAGTTATGAATTTTACACGGTCGTTAACAGTGTAATCTTCTCATACTGTTAAATTTAAAATCGGTCGAGAATTCGCCGATGGAGTAAATATGGTGGTTGTAGATTTTGTCAATACATAATAATATCAAAAACGGAGCTCGTATGCAAATGTTATGGAATTTAGAAGTCCGAAGGGTGATGTTTCGAAAGGGGTGATGTGGCTTAATATGGACCATTGCTTCCTCCCCAAGCCTTGCCAACAGATGGTGACACTTGGCACTCAACTCGACGAGTTGGTGGCTCAAAATCAACGAGTTGAGCCATATTTCAGCCTATAAATACCATGCGAAGCTCACCCTTTTTCCTAACACCATAACCTTTCTTTCTCTCTATCTCTAACTTCTCTCTAAACCTCTCCCAAAGCCCTAGTAACTCCTAATTGCTAAAGGAAAGCCCAGAGCTCTAGAAGGCTTTGAGAAGAAGAGATTTCAGCTCGGAAGTTCTGCCCCGCAGATCCCGGTTCCTCGCTAACCCCCTGTAAGTAGAGTTATGCTTACCGTACTTTAAGTATAACTTATAATTAAGTTCATTATCATTATTATGAACCTATAAACAAGATTTATCGGTGATTCCAAGTCGTTATATTGATTGATCTACTTACGGGGATGATGTCTAGGCTGTGATTTAGTGGGTCTTTAAAGTGGGATTTTAAAATAGTATACTTCATATACCAAACAGACCCTACCTTCAATATGACCCTACCTGGTTGTTCCTTACTTGATAGATCATGAAAGTACACTTTGAGTTAATGATGAATCTAGACTAATAATTAGTCACAATAAAGATTAGACTAAAACTTAGCGATAATAATGCTAGGATTGTGTCGAAGGAAAATAGAATCATTAGAAGTGAAGCGCTGTCCGAGTTTAGAATCATCACTTTAACAAGTGAGTGCATAGTTACTTTAATCTTACACATAGATATGAAGTATTTAATATGAATTACGTATTGTGTGTGCATATTATTATGTATTCTTGATATATATGTTGGATGAACAAAATAAACATGTTTTATTCGATTTAAATTGTATACGTATTTTATACCTATAATTATAATGGGTAAAGATGGGTAGATTAGAGGTGAGATGAGATGAGAGGTGAACGATGATATAGATGATGAGAGGTGAAAGATGATGAGAAGCCTTGACCTTAACAATGAGAAGCCTTGACCCAAGCGATAGCCAGTCATCTAGCAAAGTATACATGATAACCATGGACTATTCTAGACAGTCCAGTGGAACACTAGTAGGCTCGCAACCTGTAGGTGTTGTGAACAACATATTCATTAGATGTACTCTAAAAACCCATTGACATGTATTGTAGGTGGACTCCCTAAAATAATATTGTCAATAAAAGAGATAAACCCTGGCAGCTATGGACTTAGTGCCTAACAAATAACCTCGACAACTATGGACTTACTGCCTAACAAATAACCTCGGCAGCTGTGGACTTAATACCTGTTTTATAAACTGACAGCACAGGACTTCGTGCCTATTCCTTAGGACAATCCTTCGGAATGAATGAGTGAATGATAGATGATTCTTAGGGTAGATCCTTAAGAAATAAAGAAGATAATGGGGATAGGTAATTGTGTTAATTGTTCGATGATGAAACATAATAACTTTATTATTGTGGGTTGAAAACCCTATATACTCACCAAATTTGACAACCTGACCCACTCAGTTTAGTTGTATCACAGGTGTCGATACGAAACTACTTCACACTGAGAGATTAAAGGAGATGTAAATCACTAGAGTAAATGAATGTAAGGTTTGTTTATGCTTATGTTTATGTATTTACGATTACATCCCAAAGTTTTAATAATTTTTTTTTCGGAAATACTTTGATAATATTATTATCATGTTTTTCTGAGAACAAATTTCCCAACATTATTCTTTAAAATGAATACTCTAATTTTCAAATAAGTATAAATAAAATTTTTAAAAGGATCGTGAATTTAAGGATGTCACAAGTAATTTAGTCTTTTTTTAAGTCTGTGAGGAACCTAACACGCAACAAAAATACATCATAGGGATCGTCCGAGTTAATAATAATAATAATAATAATAATAATAATAATAATAATATAAAAAAACTATTATTATTATTATTATTATTATTATTAAAAAACTATTATTATTATTATTATTGTTATTAATAATAATAATAATAATAATAATAATAATAATAATAATATAAAAAAAACTATTAGGGACTAACCGTGTAAATCACCCTATATCATAGGGACCATTTGTGTATTTTACTCTAGAAGCTATTTGGCATTTGTTTAATCTACCCGGGTGTTCTAGAAGCAAGGAGGACTATCCGGTTTAAAGTCACACAGCCTACCAATTAATTCTCTTCTAAACGCAAAAAGTTCAAGCGTATGGTGATCAGTTGCATATGCATATGTCATGACTACACATCTACTTTGGTAGTAACTTCAGGTTTCATTTGCGTTCTCGATTGATGTGTAGTTCAAGTTTTTGTTTCCTTTTGATGATTTGAAGTCAATATTTCTCAAGTTTCATTGTTCAAATTGCAATGATGTTAATTTATATATTAACTGAGTCATGACTGAGAGATCACAATGATCATCAATTATCTAGCTAATTAGGTCATGTGTTGAATGAGTTCATTAGTTGATTTTATTTAAATGTGGACTTAGGGGTGCAAATGAGCCGAACTACTCATGATCGATTCGTTAAAAGCTCGATTCGAAACCGGTTTTAAATGATCCCGAGTCGAGCTCGAGCCTAATATTAAGCTCATTTATTAAACGAGCTCGAGCTCGAGCCTCTGTCACTAAGCTGGATTAGGCTCGCGAGCCTAAACGAGCCTTTATATAATATAATTTATTATTATTTTCATATATTAAAATAAAAACATATTTGGGAAATTATGGATTTCGGGTATTAGTAAACGAGCTTCTTAACGAGCTTTAGTCGAGCTTAAGCTTATTTAGGCACATCAAACGACAAATGAGCCGAGCCCGAACCCGAGCCGGGCTTGTATAATTCTTTACGAGCCCGAGCCGAGCTTAGTAAAAGAAAACTCGAATCGAGCCGAGCTCGAGCTCGAGCCTTGTATAACTTAAACGAGCCCGAGCCGAGCCTGACCAGGCTCGGGTTCGGCTCGACTCGTTTGCACCCCTATGTGGACTCATTTACAAGCACAGATATGATAGATATAAACTGAACATGCCGTTAAAAATAAATATAAAAATTGAACATTTGAAGGAAAAGATAGGAGAGGGGATAAAAACAAGTTGCAATAATGCGTGTGTGGGGTTGGAGATTATGAAGTAACATGGCCACTTTTGAAATTTCATCGACAAGGACCCCAAAACTCCGACGTCAACTTTTTCATGCTTTTCTTTCATTTCTATATGTGTCTCACACATTGTATCTCCATGGGTAGTAATGAAAGTCAACTCGGACCAAATTCATCGAAACACACAGAGTGAGAAAAAAGAGAGTAGGTTTTATGGCGAAGCACAAGCTAAGATTGTCACATATGATACCAAATGCTTGGTTTTACAGGCTTCGAGATATGAACACCAAACCACTTTCATCTGCGTACTCTTCTTCAACTTCAAAGCAGCACAACCACTCAAGAAACTCTATCTGCTACACCCCTACGCTTCAACCAGTTTACACTACGAACATTATCCACAATCCTCCTTCTCCAAAACATCCACTCTGCACTCAACCCACTGAGCCAATTGATCATACCCATCAAGATTTATTTCTTTCTCCTACCAGCTGTTCATATAAGTACCCTTTCTCCGAGTCAACTCGCTCAACACCACCCTCCACCTTTTGTAGTCGTGAACTGATTACTGCTTCAACTACTGACAACCTTCAAAAGCTTCCTCCAATTATAACTAAACCCACAAAATCCAGCATTGACAAATCAACGATGGTTGAGAAGAATGAAGGAACTCGCAGTAAAAGCTCAGTTTCAATCAAGACAATCAAAGAAAACATCTCCAAGAAAGAAACTGCAGGGGGAAAACCAGTTTCAGAAATCAAGATCAGATCGAATTCTTCCAAAACACCAGTATGCAAGAGAATGGTTCATGATAATAATGACGACAAAAGAAAAAAGAAGCTGTCAAGTAGCCGATGCATTGTGAAGTCATCATTTGACCCACAGAAGGACTTGAAGGAATCAATGCTAGAGATGATTCTGGAGAATAACATCCGGGAGTCAAAGGATTTGGAAAAGCTTCTCGCATGTTACCTGTCCTGGAATTCAAATGAGTATCATGATATGATCGTCAAGGCGTTTGAGCAAATCTGGTTGAATTTTAACTTTAGTAGTTTAGTGCACTAGAAATTTGAGGTATTAATGGTTCTGCTTCGAATTATGTGGTTTGGTGTGTATTGTCCCTGGTTAACATGGCAAAGTTAATATTATATATAAGTTTTAACACTCAACTCCGGTTGTTTTTTCGGAAACACATGTAAAGAAATATTCAAAGAAACTGCCAAACGATCAACGGGAGTTGGAATCAAAACATCCATGTCTGAACTTCTGATCCATGTAAGAGATAATACCTGACAAGCCTGTACATTTAGGAACCCAAAATAGAAGTAAAAGAACATTCCTGACAAATTTGTACATTTATTGTGGAAGTAAAAAAGGATCTTTATGTGAATCCCTAGTAATGGTCTTTGTAAACAATATTTTGAGAAAAAATGGATTTCAAAATAACCCTAGAGCGACCGATACAATAGATCTACATAACTAATTATAATTAAATATCTCCACCCTACCCATTTTCCTACTCATATAAAATAATGACATGTGGCATCTACTAATTCTTTCAATTCATCACTTCTGTAAATTTGTCATGATCTTATGAGTAGGAGGATAGATAGAAAAAAAAGTAGAAGAATATTTGATTTCTCATTGTAGAATGCATGGTAATATCTCCATGTCTTGCATCCAACTTAATGCAAAATATATACAAAAAGGGAATCCCGATAAATCAGGGATTGGGATATAGATAAATACAAATACATCTGTAACAATAAATATAGATAAATATATGCCTATGCTATTTGTTAAATATCCTCCATCGGAGGAGGTCGAATGGTCATACTATTTCTTAAATAAAAAACAAGTTGATGAAGTAGGCTTTTGGTAAACATATTTGCATATTAGTAAGTTGATGGTATGTAAAGAAGTCGTATGCGTCAAAGAGCAATTTTTTCTCTGAAAAAATGAATATTCATTTCGATGTGTGTTAGTATACTAGTGTTGAAGACTGTTTCGGATAAGTACATAGCAGAGACGTTATCATAGTAGACCAATGTTGTACGTTTAAGAGGGACATGGAGCTCGATGAGTAGGTTGCAAAGCTAGCATATCTCAACAACAACATTCACAACATATCAGTATTCGACTTTTGCACTCTAGCGGGATAAGGTATTTTGACATTTAACCAACCAGGAGATGCGGTTATCCTTGAGGAAGACGTAGTACGTGGTTGTTGATTAGTATGTATTAGCATCCAACCCAATCGACGTTTGTACACGAATCTAGCTGGGATGATCCAAATGAATAGAATTAGAGACAAAGGTTGGGTGTACCTTGTAGGTATCGGATAATTTGTTTTAGAGTATTAAAACGAGGTACGCATAAGCTTATTTGTTGAACAACATTTGAAATGTGTAACATCCTGTTTCCCATCATTTCTTATTTCAGGGTTGTGGGCCGGAATTTGATTGTGTAAAACCTTTGGGCCTTGATGAGGTAAATATTAGACCTTGTGGAAGGTGGTAATGGTAGTTGAGAGATCTAACCATTGAAATGTATTTTGGGTCGAAGGGTAAAAAAGGGAAAAGTCATAGGTCAGGTTCTTGCATGAAATATTGATTTTTTTTTTCGAGAAGTTTTTAGTCCAAGATATTTTGATAATATTATAGAGCTCTTCAACACCTTTCCGTGGATATAAAAACGTTGAAAATGGAGTTGGAACAAAAAAGTTACAACTGTTTGAAGGTATAACAATTTTTTGGGTTAGTCGTGTGTTGGGCGTATGGGGAGTACGTTGGGTATACTAGGGCATCCCTAGTACACTGGGGTACTAGGAATATGTTGGGCGTATACGATTACTGCCCAAACCCTATTTTCGTGGTTTGAGCCATATTTAAGCTCTTTAAGTTCCCAAACCCATTCCATTTGTTGGAACGGGCCCTTTAAAACACACACACACACACACACACACACACACTAATCACGTATGTGTGTGAATGAAAACTTGTTCTTTTTATTCAATAAACAAAGTTACAACTAATGCATCAAAAGCTACTGCTATATATACTACTCTAACTATGCTATCTAATCTAATTAATAGCTCATAACCACGTTTCAAAACTTACTCCTAAAGTAAAGCTAGATATGGAATAAAACTCCTCATGAATCGGTCTTGCTTTTGAACAAGTAAAGCTTTCTTATTTTCCATGTTTATTATTTGTGGATATCCTCCATTAGTTACTGTGACAATCCGAAAACTTTCCATTACTATAAAACGTTCCCGTTAATAAAACCATTCGTATTCCAATTTTTCTGTTAACTTCTGGTAAATTAATTAAAGTGGGACTTTTTATTTTGACCTCGTGAGTGTCCAAACCCATTAGAAACGCGTGAAAACATTCTCGATATTCAATTGCAAAAATTTTAATTACGACTAAGTCGGGTTATGACAATTTAATTGGGTAAAATTGTAAACACCGTTTAACGTCGGTATCGGGTAGATTTCCATCGGGCCACAAACTCAAGCCTTATATAAAGGATGAGTGACTAGCTTTTTACCACCACCTCATAACTTTCTCTCTCTACTCTATCTCTCTAAAACTCGAGTTTGATCCAAAAACGCCTCTTCAAGCTTCCAAAATCGTAAGTAATCTACCCTACCTTGTTGTTTAGCTTGTTAAGCTTGCAAATCTAGGTTTAATTCATCCAAAACACTCAAGAACAAGTGTTTATGGTTTGGGAACACCTCCCAAAACCGTGAACTCCTTTAAAGGGGGTTTGAAGCCCCAAAACCCTTCCAAGACCCTTCTAGTGCTTAGATATGGCTTAAGGATTTGCATGTACGAGATTTGAGCACCAAAATCATATCATTAGGGTGGAAACATGAGTTTACGGCCCAAGAACATTCTTGGACCGTAAACACATCTTCAAGGACCATAAACACCTTTTAAGGTGTTAAATTGCCCCTTAAACACCTCCAAAGGCTTCCATGAGTACCTAGAACCCTATATTCCTTCATGTGATGCATCAAACCATAAAAAAATGAGTCAAGCATGAGTTTACGGTTTGGGAATACCTCCCAAAACCGTAAACACCTTCAATGGGGTGTTTAAATGCCCTTAACAACTTATATAGCTTAGAGTTGGGTCTAGAACTTTGTATGCTTAACCTACAACCACCAAAACGCTTGATTCATGGACAAACATGAGTTTACGGACGTAAACTCATGTGTTTATGGTAGTAAACTCCCCAAGTTTCCTTGAAGAACCGTAAACCCCCTTTTCCAAGGTCAAATCAAGTCCCGGTCACTTCCTAAGCCATGGAATCAACTCTAGAATCTTCCCTTGAGCAATGTAAGACCTTTAAACATCCAAAAACACACCACCCATGAGTTTATGGCCATAAACTCATGGGGTTATGGTTGTTGGACCATAAACACTCATGGGGTTATGGGGTGTTTAAATGCCCTTAACACCTTATATAGCTTAGAATTGGGTCTAGAACTTTGTATGCTTAACCTACAACCACCAAAACGCTTGATTCATGGACAAACATGAGTTTACAGATGTAAACTCATGTGTTTATGGTAGTAAACTCCCCAAGTTTCCTTGAAGAACCGTAAACCCCCTTTTCCAAGGTCAAATCAAGTCCCGGTCACTTCCTAAGCCATGAAATCAACCCTAGAATCTTCCCTTGAGCAATGTAAGACCTTTAAACATCCAAAAACACACCACCCATGAGTTTATGGCCATAAACTCATGGGGTTATGGTTGTTGGACCATAAACACTCCTAAGGGCTTACTCTTGAAGTGTAAACTCCTTATCTAGGCTCTACACACCTTTACATGCAACCCAGATCACTTATAACACTTGAATTCAAGTGGTTTCGCGCCTCAGAGTGTATACTCTTATTTAATTAGTACTTCAAAATCTAATTAGATACAATTATGTATCTCTTCATATTACATAGGAACCTCGCGTGTATTCAAGCCCCGAACTGACACTTAGCATCCTAACCGGCACATTCCTCGTCTGGTGAGTTCATACCCCTACACCTCTTTCTGTGTTTTCCAATGTTTTCAGGGGGGAATACAAGCAAATCATAAAGGTTTTTAAAACTTAAAACTGATGTAATTATATGATTTCCTAACAAACTTTAAATACTAAATTCCTTTGTAATATGCGGAGCATAAGGGAGGTTTTCAGAAAGTAATTACATAGCTTTCAAACAATATGGGAACTCATCAAATCATCCGATTTATAATTCATCTAATCATTTAAATTATTAAGGGAATAATTTGGGATCGACATTACTAGTTTTATGGATTCAAAAACTATGTCTGATTTAGTTTATCCATGTTTAATCTATAGTATCTCGTTGAATAATTATCTCGTATTTGATTATTTATATTTTACCAAACTATTTTGAAACTCGAGAACGATCTTTTTTTCCGTGAATTGGTAATAATAGCTTGTGAGATTCTTCTTCATTATTCCCTACGAGGTATCAGTAAATCCTCTCTAAAGTATAACCAGAGTCTCCAGGGGGGAGAACGTGAAATTTATCGATAGATCTATTCGGGACTGACAATCCCATACCTTAACTGCTAGCTACAGTTAGGCGGGCACCCCTGGGATGACAAATTTTGGATTCTAGTGACGTCTGAAGAACGTCAAGGAGGTCACGGGTCAAATTAGTATGGTTATACGACTCACAATATGTATTAAATTAACAGATTTTATTCATGGATGTCTTTCTCTCTTCTATGGTTTATGTATTAAAACTAATGTACTTTCAAAGATAATCAAGCTTTCAGAATATTCCACTTAAACGTTACAAGTAGGGTAGATACTTGTATACTTCATTTCGAATCGATAACAAAGCACAAACTTTTAAGGAAAAGAAGGGTTTTTCCTGGGATCACGAAACTGTTCTTAACCAGATTGTGTAACAAACGAATAACTCAACTCTTCTTATAAGAAAATACGGGATTTTCTTGGATAACAACTTTTTCAGAAAACCAAAGGAACTTGTTCTTTTACTAAAACAAAATGCTTACGAACTCACCAGC